CATCAAGATGGCTAGTAGAAGGAGAGCGCTTGGCTTCTGGGATCCGACTACCACCAATCAGAGCATACATGAATGACATGACAACCATGACTACAACAGTAGACTGCACTAATCGGTTATTGGGGAAGTTAATAATATTGAATGAGCACAAAATGCAATTTAAGCCCTCTAAATCAAGGAGCATCTCGATAGTTAAAGAAAAGGTAGTAGATAAAACAGTCTTCATTAATCATTAATGGTGAGGCAATACCAACAGTTTCTGAGTAGCCAGTGAAGAGTCTTGGGAGATGGTACGATGGGGATCTAAAGGACACAGTTCGAGTGGGAGAAGTTAGACGACAAGCCAACCCGATCTCACGACCAAGTTGTACGAATTTGACGAATGATTAAAAAGTGTCTAATTCGTAACAATTCATACGACCTCACTCGTACGAATTAATATGATTTTGCTAAATCGTACATATTTTACGAATTGGCCAATTCGTATGAATTCGTACGAATGACCTACCCCTTACCCCGCCCCTAAACATAACCATCACGTGGGTTTAGACAAATCGTACGAATTAGTACGAGTGAGGTCGTACGAATTAGTACGAATTAGCCACTTTTTAATCATGCGTCGAATTCATACGAATTGGTCGTGAGATAGTGTTGGACAAGCAGTGGAAGGGTTGAAGCCATAAACAGCTGTGCTCTGACAGGCTTACTAAAACTCTGGTGCTTTCAGTTTGGTCTACTGCCGTGGTTGCTGTGGCCACTGATTGTGTACGAAATCTTAAGCTCCTTCAGTATTAGCTATCACGTTTCTCAAGAGCTTGTTACCCTCCTCCATCCCCAGCTCCTCTTCTCATCAGTCAGTTTGGCATTGTGATCTCCCGTGAATCAGAATAAATTCTTGAATCATGTTGTACTTTAAAATCTTGAATGAATGATATCTGCAATACATTCATGTTGGTTTTGTTCTGTTTACCCTAAGAGGGTTATTGCTGCTCTATAATTTATTTTTATTTTCACCTTTTTCACTTCTGCACTTTATATCTTCAGGAATAATCTGCTAAGTGTCCTCTATAAAAAGAGACCAAACTTAATTATTTACGCCTGACAGTTTAAGTCATTTAAGGAAGTTTAAAGAAACTCCAATTTCAGGCTCAAAAACAGATTAAATGGTAATAAATGGATCACAACTATTGCATAAATATAATTTAGCACCATAAAATCCCTTAAAATACAAAATAAAAGTTTGTAAAAAAAAATTGAATTGAATTGAATAAAAATTTTTGAATTGAAATACAGTACATTCATTTTTTTTTTAATCATTTTTGACTGCCGCACGATCAGCACCAGGGTAACTTAAGCAACCTTATATTTGGGATTTTGATTAAAAAGGGATTTTAAATTATATTTATTTATAGTACAAAAAAAATATGAAATATATTCGGAAACATATTTTGGCCAGATACATTTATTTTCCCTGCAAATAAATGCACATAAAAACATCTGTCATAAACTAATTGTGCTTGCTTTGAGAGTTTGATGCTTTTTTTCAGAATAAATGATGTCAGTGACACAGAGTCTCTAACACAAACTCTAAGTCAGAAACAGATGTGAGCGCGCACAGCATCATGCTGCGAGACCTCTCTGGGTCTTCTGGTTAGCGCTAGACTGCTAATGCACTCGCTGGGTGATCTCGTCAAAGTGCCATTTAGATAAAGAGAGGAGGTTTGAACCCCCCACAGACAACAAACAGTTGTAACTATGTGGCAAAGGAAGGTTACAAATTTGTGATCTTCCTGTTTTATTCAGAATCAACTGCAGCAATTATACTGTAAACTGAAATGTGCATCCTGTTTAACTGTGCATTACATTTTTTGTGTCTCATTGCTGAACTTTACCGCTTTAGTTTCTGTGTGCAAGTGTCTGTGCAGTAGGATAAGAACATGAAGCCTTGGTTGCTAGGGGACATCTTTGCTTAAATTTTGTTGCTAGGCTGCCAATTCCCTCAGTTAAGTGGAAACATCTCCCCACTTTTCTGACCGTTCACCCTGCAACCTCCTCTGTCTCTATCCATGCATCTCATTCCTTTCCTCCATCTATTTTTTCCAACCAAAATAACCAGCCATCTGTCACTATGCATAAAGGTTGCCTGTTGCTAAGAAGTGTAGAGATACGTCAGTATCTAAATTTGTGAAATACGCAGTATTTCAGCTACATGCTGGACTCATAGGAATAGTAATATATGTGTCTCATCTTGCCAGGAACTGCAAGAGAGAGCACTACGGAAGTTAGTAATGTGTGAAGTCCACTGAAACTGTGAGAGATATGCAGCATGTGTGTTTATGCTCTTAAGCTTCTTTCATATTAATCCATGCAATAAATGATGAAAAGCACAAGGCGAGTACACAAAGAAGGGTTGAAAAACATGGCAGTGCAGTCTCATTTATAGCAACAGCTGGGCTAATTGCATTCTAAACAATGATGGAATTTAACCACATCATTATGCTGAGGGGTTTGGTGATAATAGTCTGTCTGGAAGTGACCTATGCACAAATTAATTAGGCACTTTTGTTAAACCAGCAAATCATTCTTACAGGCAGGTTGTCTGACAGGTAGAAAATAGACATTTACTTGGAAGCAGAATATAATCCTATAACCCTGTTTTAATATATTTCAGTGTCTCTATTAATTAAAATACGCTTTAATAAAGAAAGTGAAGGCTCAATAGTGAGCGCAGAACAGCTTGGCTTTCACAGAAAAGTTTTCTCTGGTTTTATCGATACTTCGTTTTTCATTTCTTAATTTATCCCCGTCTCTTCTCTCCCACGGTTTTCTCTGTCAGTATGACATTTGCCAGCCACCGCCCGCGCGCTCTCGACACACTCGCACTGTCCTCGCTTTTTCAAATTATTGTCACAGCTTCACTGGAGAAAACTGTACTCTGTGTAAATCAATCAAATAGACTTTGTTTGTTTCATAATTCTTGTGATATTTGGAACTGCATGGGCTTGGTCTCTTGGGAAACCAGATGTCATTTTAACCTGTTTAAACCCTAATTATGGCCAAGTGGCCATTTATATGTTTAGAATTTTTATTTGCTTTATTTCTACTCTAAGTGCAGTAAATTAAATATATATTTTTTAGAAAATTGCTTGTCCATGCAATGCAATGCAATGGGGTTGAATGTTGTGTAGGGCCACATTCAGATTAATTGTATGGACAAAACAAGCGTACACACAAAAGACACAATATCTTTGTTTTCAACAGAAAAAAAGTCATGCATTTTTTGATGAGTATCACTTTTTTTCTCCCGAACGAAATATTGTAGTAAATATATTAAATAAATATATTCTGCGATATTAAATCATATTTGACCTGATTAAACCGAGTCAAAATATGATTTAATTTATCAAATGGTCAAAACTTTGCTGAAAAACCTGTTGTATATGCCGTCCGTCATCTGATTGATAGTTCATACTACTTTTATTATCAAGTAAAAGGCTTTGTAAGAAAAAGATCCATATTTAAAACTTTATAAAACAACTAGCTTCCAGCCAAATGAACATACGGATTCGACTTAAAGGGTTAGTTCACCCAAAAGTGAAAATGATGTCATTAATGATTCACCCTCATGTCGTTCCAAGCCCATAAGAACTTCATCTTCAGGACATAGTTTAAGATATTTTAGATTTAGTCAGAGAGCTTTCTGTCCCTCCACTGAAAATGTATGTACGGTATACTGTCCTTGTCCAGAAAGGAAATACAGACATCATCAAAGTAGTCCATGTGACATCAGTGGGTTAGTTAGAATGTTTGAAGCATCGAAAATATATTTGACTTTATTAAACATTGTATTGTCTTCCGATTCTGTCCGCTGTGACGCTGCTGACGTGTTCTCTGGTAACCTGCGAACACATATAAAAAGTCATAGTTTTATAAAGTCGTAGTTTTATGTTTAATAAAGTCGTAGTTTTTGCTTGTTTTGGACCAAAATGTATTTTCGATACTTCAAATATTCTAACTAACCCATTGATGTCACATGGACTTCGATGATGTCTTTAATGGGCTTTATAGCTGCACTACTTCCTGAACTTCAGCCAGCTCCTTGTTTCCTGTCTGCCATTATTGGCCAAATTGATTAATTCAGGTGTGCCTGACCTCAGTAGTCATGGTAACAATAATCAGACACACCTGAATTCATCAATTTGGCCAATAATGGCAGACAGGAAACAAGGAGCTGGCTGAAGTTCAGGAGTGCAGCTGGTCATAAAGCCAATTCCTTTCTGGACAAGGACAGTTTACCGTAGTACCGTATACATTTTCAATGGAGGGACAGAAATCTCTCAGACTAAATCTAAAATTTCTTAAACTGTGTTCCGAAGATGAATGGAGGTCTTACAGGCTTGGGACGACATGAGGGTGAGTCATTAATGACATTATTTTAATTTTGAGGTGAACTAACCCTTTAAGTCTAAAACAACCTTGAAACAATTCATTAGAGGGTAAAAGCCTGATGTATCAAATATGATACTATTTTTTTTTTTAATTTTAAATAATTCTTTCAATTATTATATAATAATTTTCAATTTTTTGTCTAAGTTTAATAAACTGTTCTGAAAATTCTGACTAGTTCATATATTTGGCTTTACAGGGTTAACAAAGGTATTAGGCTGCCCTGCTTTATTTCCAAAGTTTTTTTTATTTTAAAAAAGTGCCTTTGGCTTCACTCTAAAAACACTTCAAGAATGTGATGTCCATTGAGGAAAACGCAGGGTCTGAATAGGACAACATGTGACGGAAATACTTCAAAAGACTTCACCAACCATAGAGGTACATCCAGTTCAATGCGTGCATGGGCTTCTTTGATTTTCCAGAGCGATCAAGGTTTGACATTTTTGACCGCTGGATGAAATCCCATTGATTAGAGGAGCACCCTCTCTAGACACTGAATGGTCTCCCTGGCGACATCCAGGCTGATCGCGCTCTTTCTCTCTCCCTCCCGGCCCCCACACCTCCCATGGACCACACGCGCACACGTGCACACGCACGAAACCTGCGCGCAGATCTCAGCTGAGTTGCAGTGGCTTTGCAAGTGCCTTGGGCGTTGATCGTGCTAGTAAAGACTGACAGCCAAGTGTGAGAGAACGCAACAGAAACGGGGCACTTTTTTATCCAATTTGCGTGTAAACTGAAGACATGAACCATTCCAAATGTTTTTAGGAGATACTTGTATTACTTTTTCTCCTCATAAAAACTTGCCAGACTCAACAGGCAGTTGCAGAAAGTGAGTTGATGCCATAAGAGGCTCGATCGTCTTCAGCCACAGTCTTCTGCGTCTCCGCTCAGCATGAACGGAACGTTTTTCAACCACACGATGTTTACGCACGGCGTTCTGCTCAACCGCAGTCAGGAGCTCGCGGGGACTCTCGTTGACTGCTGCACGGGTAACGGGAGCGAAGTGACCGCAAACGACGGCGGCGGGTCTTTAGTTCTCGCTCACGACGAGCGCAAGCTGTTCGTTACGCGCGTGGTGCAGATCGCGGTGTTATGCGTTCTTTCACTCACGGTGATGTTCGGGATCTTCTTTCTCGGGTGCAACCTCATGATCAAGTCCGAAAGTATGATTAACTTCCTTGTCAAGGAACGGAGACCATCCAAAGACGTCGAAGCGGTGATGATCGGACTGGGTTAGCCACGGGTGTCACCTGTAACCGGCCTGCAATTAGCCTATCCTCAGATTGGGAGGCAGGAAGATATGCAACTTTTACGTTCACTCCCTTTGTGAAGAAAATGTGGATGAACTGTTCCTGAAACAAAGATGACAGCTGCACGTTTACAAAATAAGAATGTATTTATTCATGTTTACGTAGCTTTTTGTAGGTATTTGAGGTCAGTTTGCATGTGATTTTTTACAGTGAAGTGTTTACACGTTTTTACCTCATAAAAAGCAGAATAGCCTAGCTACCTTCTGCATTTATTTGTAAAATAATGCGAACTATGACTTTAGCGTCAGGGCGCTCGACGGTTCGTCTTGCCAAACGCAAATTGTTTCTTTGGGCGCAAGAAAGTCCCTTATTTAGAATATAGAACAAACATTTTTTTTTGTCATAAAGTACCGCGATAACTAATGATTTATTGACGCACCCGCACAAACTTCGTCATAATGGAAAGCGCATGAGCTATACGTGTTGTCGTGGTTCCTTCCTTGCCAGCTCAATTTAGCGGTCGGTGTAGCCTAACTATTATTACTGAAAACCATAAGTGAAACCTACATATAGTAGCCTAGCCTACTTCTATATGGGCAAAAAATATGTACATTTAGTTTTGGGGTGGGGTAGGGGGGTTCAAGCCTTGGAGAAATTCTGACTTCCCCAAACCCACCACCAGCCCGGTCTGTATTAGACAATCACTTCCAAAAGCATGTTGTTTTGTGAACGCTGACTTTTGTACCTTGAATCACAGGTGTTTTGATTTTGAAGATGTCAAAATGTATTTTTCTTGGATGGGGGGGTGATGCTCGTCTGTTGCGGCACTTGCACGTTTTCCAAAATACTTCCCTGGTCGCAGCGGCTGACGTCTCTCCTTCTGCATGCGCGGTGCTCGCTGTGTGTGTGTGTGTCAGACACTTTCTAAGTAACACCTCAATGAAGCATGGGATATTTTGTAAAATTGACTTGCAAACATGAAATTGTGCAGCATGCTTTGAATAAAGTTGTTTAAACATTGCACTGCTTTTAGTTTATTCTTTCCAATGATTAACTGATTAATAATTACATTATATATATATATATATATATATATATATATAATGCAATTATTCATGCATTACTTCAATAGGTTATTCGCATAGATAATCCTGTGATGCACCTTCATTTTTAATGAACCATTTTTAATTTTTAATTGAACAAATGTGGATTAACAAAGCTGATTTTGGAAGAGAGTGGTCTTTAAAATGAGTATAATCACTTTACATTTATTTTCCAAGTACATGGAAAGAAAATAATGTAGCTTTTTCAAGTGTATGCTATTTGGTGATAGAAGCACACTGCAAACCCAAAAAAGTTTGCAAAACTCGTTACAAAAATCAGTTATGTCAACATTTTTAAGTTAAGAAATTCTTCTAAGTTGAGAAAAAACGTCTATATATTCATAAAAGTTCATTTAATTGAACGATTTTTTAAAAATTAAGCTTACACTACTCAAACCAATTAATTATTTTGAGCATGTACTGTTGAACTGATAACCAAAATTTCTGTCATGATCACTGTAAACGTGCATCTTAACTGGGAGCAGTCGTAATTGTTCTTTGAGTCATTTGTCTCTAATTCTATCACCTGCACACATATGCATACACACAGTTACAAGTGTTGTGATAGAAAATTCTCAATTTGTGAATTAAACACAGGTTGTCATGCAGGTGTCCTTCTGGTAATATAGACACCTTTCCTGTCACCAGAGTCTGCTTCCAAAAAGGCCTTTCTGCTTACACATACAGTAGCTCATATATGACACATTTTACTTGATTTCACATCCTCATTTCACCCCTGGTCTACGAGGACATATATTTCATTAATTATCAAGCCCTTATGGCTGTTTTACTGCATATGTTCTTGAACTGAAGTAGCACCAGATAGTTTTAGGGGTAATAATGCCTTACAAATAACAAGACTTACGTGATTAATAAAATATCCGACTTACCTTTTCAAATAAATAACTCAAGTTTACTTTTCCCATTTATTGACTGACACGTTTCCTGATTCCATGTTGAGAGAAACTGGGAGTATTGTGTGCTGTGAATATGATGGTTATTGTAATGGGAGCAGGCATTTACTCATCTCACTTGCAGAAAAAATCAGTATTCCTCAAAATAAATAAAAACAGTGAAATGAAAACTATTAAGCAAACCTGAAATAATTCAATGTTAAATAGATAATTTATGTATTTAATCTCACTTTATTAAAGTCCCTCTGTGGTGACAAATCAAGCTTTTATTGTTGTTTATGTATATGTTGCGTTTACAATATGTTTTAAGACAAAAATGTGCAATTTCATAAGCAAACAACAATGCTGAGTATTATCTCCCTAAAACTCACAAACTACCCTATACTTGTGACCCATCGTGAAACTTGTCACCATTAAGGAAGGATGTAGAGTTACATTCAAGCTATTTTAAGGCATAAAGAAATTTAAATATGTTAAGTTTAAACATTTAATTTTAATGATAAATGATAAGGGATACAATTATTGACTACAGGGGGACTTTAAGGTGTTTGCTGTTGACCTTCGAAGATCCAATTCAACCTAATAAGCAAAAATTACTTCAGTTAAACATCGCTGAAGTGAGTGTGTTGAATTTTCTTCTCCAGCAGCATTTTACTTTCGGTGTGAGCGGCCTTTAAATTTGCCAAAAATAGAACTTTTTTGTTATGTTATGTCCAGTCCAGGTTAGAAAAAGTAATGCAAAAACACAAAGAAAGTAACTAATAGCCTACTAATTAACACAATTAGTTACTCTTTTGGGGAGTAACGCAATATTGTAACACATTACGTTTAAAAGTAACTTTCTACAACACTGCCTATACAGTAACACAGTCAAAATCCATAGTTGAGTTCAAAAGCAATTAACATGTTAAGCAAATTGTAATTTTCACAACAGTGTCATGAGGGCCGCTTGCTGACCGATCAAAAATAGCAGTAGGCCTAATTCTCAAAGAGATACACAATAGTACACACAGCCAGCGTCAAGCATAATCTACTGTTTAACAAGCAAAAGAGAAGTATATGGATAACAGGAAAGGCGAAGCGTGAGCCACCTAAGAGGAAAAGATTTTTTTTTAAAGGAAGACATAGTCTTATATTTCTGTGGAGGTCTGAGTATGTCTCAGGCTTCTGTCTCATGCTCAGCATGGAGATGTGTGTTTTTATCTAGCATCCATCTCATCCTTTCCTCCATCCTCACTTCCTGGACTGTAAAAATGACAGCCCATTCTCACTCCCAAGGCGTCACCTAACTGACGCCCTGGGAAGCATTTGGACATGCTTCAATATCTGACGCTTTAGGCGCCCTTTAGCGTCAGTTAGATGACGCCCTAGGATCGCGTGTACCCTACCCCCACCCCACACCTAAACCTAACCGCGTCCTCTAACAGACGCTTTCCTTTAGCGTCAGTTAGATGACGCCGTAGGATCGCGTCATGTAAGTGACGCTAAAGGGCGCCTAAAACGTCAAATATTGAAGCATGGTCAAAGGTGACGCCTTGGGGTGAGAATGCGTTGAAAATGAAGGTAAGTAGAGGGAAAGCTGAGAGCTGGAAAGAGAAAGATTCACAGAGTTAACCTGTTTCATAAAATATTAAAGCAATGAAAGAGATTCGCCGTGTCGGATGTATGAAGTATTTGGCCAAATAAAAATTCAGGAGCATGCACGCATAAATAAGTGCACAAATGAAAAATGTTTTTGTCTATGATTTTCTCTTTTTATTTTAATTAGCAGTTTACTATTAATATTTTCTCTCATATATTTAATTTGTTTGTTTTTTATTAAAAATTATATTTTTGCAATACTACAAATTCGTATAGTTCATATACAGCCACATTTTTCTGATTGTCTTATTCTGCTTTTTGTGTATATTTTATTATGATCATGCTGTACTAAAATGTAATAATTTTCAGTAAAATTCCATAAGTAAAATGTTTATAAATTGCATAAATTGCCTCGAAATATCCTGTGAGGTGAATTGAGGTGAATGTTTGGTATGCTTTTACGCAATACTAATATAGCCACTAGATGGTAGCAAAAACCTTGTTGTTCAACCTTGTGGCTAAGAAAGCTGGTTATTATACACCCTTATGTTTTGTTTTGTTTTTTCTTTAAACAAACGTCTTAAATATAAACTTAATAAATAGATAAAACAAACAACAAGAATACATGGACAAATAGAAAATATGGCTCAAAGAATAGTAAAGGCCTCATATTTAATAGGATTATCACCTTGTAAAATAGGCCTTTACGTAAGAATTGCGTAGAATGAATTTACGTAAGATTTTGTGTGGAAATACAGAGGCCCCAAGTTGCCATTCATTACACTGAAATAACATGCGTAAAAATTTGCCTACTTCAGTTTTCTTGTTTAAGTTAAGTAAATTGCACCAACAGAATCATTTCTTTTGTGCTATGTTTTATCTTGCCTGTGGTTAGGCTACACATATCCTTTGGTCTTGATGGTGAAACAGATAACATTTTCGAAATGCTGGAACACTTGGTCATCTGTTCTTACATGTCGCGGGACGGTAGTTTCCACTCCCAGTTTGTGCATCAAGGAATTCGAGTTGAAACAGAGTTTCTAACGTTACAGCAGGAGGCATTCAGTAGTTTGGTTCTATTAAAATGGGACTAAATTTGATGGATGTTTGGATACCAGTTTTACTTCTAGTTTCCTCGGCTACAAGTAAGTTTGCCTTTTGTTATTGGTTGTTTAGTAAATCACAAAGAATGATAGCAATGTGCATGCTGCAAACATAAATATTATTATTTCCTACATTTGATTACTCTTTCACTTGTTACAACACACTTGAGAGGCTGTACGATGGAACCTGAAAGAAGACATTTCTAAAGAGTAGGCTATAATGTAGATATGAGATTAATGATAGTCTTGTTTCTCTAGGCTCTAACATTTGCACTTCCAGAGGAGTGAGTACCTGTAAAGAATGCCTGTCGATCCATCCAACCTGTGCCTGGTGCACTCAGGAGGTAATTAACACAATTTCACCTACAAGCACAAATAAACAAATGGCTGCTTGAAATGTCTCTCTCTGGTTGCTATCACAGGACTGCCAACTCTCACACACACTTTTCATACGCTCTCACGCCACACATCCATTTTCTTACGTAGAGTGAAATTGCAGAGCAAAGAGGACACAGCCAGCGACAGACAAAACAGATAGCCTATATATATATATATATATATATATATATATACAAAAATTCTTGATATAAAACAAATTCCCTGCTCTCATATTCTATCAATTTAATCACGAAATTAAAAAAAATAAAAACTGTTTCGGAGCTTGTAAATGTGACGTGCCAGATCGCCTCAGTTCAACCTGCACCTGGATCGATCCCTTACCTTAGGCTACTCTTGTCTCTTGTTAATAGTAAATATAAACAGGCATGAAGGTATGTTGAAAAGATGCAGTTATTACTTAGGCTATTACAATTTTTAACCTTTAATGATAATACCAGCTGACAGGGCTCTCTGTTTACAGCATTAGGTGAGATAATTTTTTTTCTTAAGAAAAATAAAGGCTATATATTTATCCAAAGAATTCAATATTGAATCAAGATCGGAATCAAATCACAATAATTGAATTGAATAGAAATCTTACCCTGTAAACATTTGTAACATGTTGTCACTAAACTTAATAAAATTCTGTCTAGTTATCAAATCTTTTTGACAATCACAATACACTTGTGATGCAAGTTTTTTTTGTTTGTCTAAACTCAAAAGTTGGCAGCCCTGGTCATCAGTATGTGTATGTGTGTTTCTAGATCTTTGGAAAGGAGGGGTCAAGTTTGTCCCGGTGTGATCTCAAAGACAGTCTCATTCAGTCTGGTTGTGGCATAAAGTTTATTGAGTTTCCAGTTAGCAGCATGAGGATCCTCGAGGATGTACCTCTGAGTAACAAGGCAGGGGTTTCAGCCAGCGACATCACTCAGATCCAACCA